CAAATTAGACCTGTTGGGCTCCGTTCAGCCTTGGTGCACGTTCAAAAACCAGTTTGGATCTTTGACACAAACTTTACCTGTGTCTCCGTTCACGCCTTTTTGTCCACGTGAATCTAAATCTCCGATATTACCTTTGTCGTTAACTAAACACTGCACCAGGTGTGCATTTTTCTCCTTTTGTTCCTTTTTTTTTTAGGTTTTTATTCTTTGTGTCCTTTATCACCATCTGAGGCTATGTCTCAAATTTCACCTTTTACTCTGTTGTCGCCTTTATCTCTTTTTTTTACTCTCCGCCCCTTATCATAAATGCAATCTTTATAACCACTAGTACTCTCGTCTCTTTAGCCTTTTTCGTTTTTAGAAAGATCATTCTTTTCACTTTTACCTTTTATAAATTTAAGAAGATATTATCAAATCAAAACAAATGCGACCAGGATGTAGAAATGCCTTTTAATCAACTTTCAGAGTGCGAACTGCCATCCTTTGCAGAGTCACCCGCGGTATTTTCTAGGACTCATGTTAGTCAGTGTCTATTTTTTTGTGTTATACATTGTGAGCTGTTGTTAGTCTGCTCGTATTTTTTCTTTAGGATATTGTGTATTCTGTTTTTCTTCATATTGATGTTTTTGTATTCACTTGGCATCTTTTCCCCCCTTTTTTTCAATGTATCATTTACTATGTTTCTTCATAAAAATTAGATGTAAAATAATCTCTTTAAAATCGTTGTTGGTGTTTTGAAAAAAAATTCGTATCCAGTTATTCTGTCAAATCTCTTCATTTATGATTTAAACTTTTTCCAATTTTAATAACTGTCAATTATTTTGGCGCCACTGGTAGGTCTTAGATTGAGACCAGCCTCTGATGTACTTAAGTATAAGTAAGTTATTTGTAAATATTCTGGCGCCATTAGTAGGTCTTGAATTGAGACCAGCTTCTGATGTACCAAAGTATAAGTAAGGCATTTGTAGTTATTCAGGCGCCACTAGTAGATCTTGAATTAAGACCACCCTCTAATGTACCAGATTATAAGTAATGCATTTGTCATGATTAAGGCACCACTAGTAGGCCTTGAATTGCGACCAGCTTCTGATGTACCAAAGTATAAGTAAGGTATTTGTCATAATTCGGGCGCCACTGGTATGTCTTGAATTGAGCCCAAATTCTGATGTACCAAAGTAAGGTATTTATAATGAGTTTCAATCATCATGATCATAGTGTTGAAATAAATATCCAGTTTTACAGTTAAAACTAAAATATCTCATTCCTTGCGATATGAATATACATTACGGAAGAAACAATACAGTTTAATGGGTTGGTGTTGCTTAGTCTTTAGTTTTCTTTGTAGTGTTTTGTATACTGTTGGTCTTTTCCTGTTTTTGCCATGGCGTTGTCAGTTTTTTTCCTACTTATGAAATTGAATGCCTTTCGGTGTCTTTTGACTCTCTTTTTCTTCATATGTTTATTTTCTCTTGAAATTGATGCTGTAAAAACCGAGATAAAGATATGTGAGAAACGTGATGATATCAATATCATTTTTGGCAATTTTTCTTATAGTAGCGTACTCTAAACTCAAAAACTTCACGAGCAAAGTAGAGAAAAAGAAATACTGAAACATTGATCGTAAGCAATTTTTATGATAGCCACCTTGTATTGGTTAGAATGTCTAAATTTCTAGTTTAAAGGTTAAAATTTTAATTCTGTTCTATGGTCGATATGCTAAGAAGTAAAATGACAAAGTCAAAAGCTCACACACATCAAACGAATGGAAAACAACCGTCACATTCCTGACTTGGCAATTCCTTATGTAGAAAATGTTGGATTAAACCTGGTTTTATAGCTAGCTAAACCTCTACCTTGTATGACAGTCGCATACAATTCCTTTATACTGACAACAATGTGTGAACAAAACAAACAGACATATTAGGTAAAAATGTCAAAAAATAGAGGTACAGCAGTCAACATTATGTCAACAAAGAAAAACAAAATGGCATATAGAAAAGCACATAAGCAAAAATGAAAGACAAGAATACAAAAAATGACCATAGCACAATAACAGAATAGCGGGATGTATAAGTACCGAGCCACACCAAAAGGATATTACTAAACATGGACTAAACAGTAAAGGTTAATAATTTACAAAGACAAATAAAAGAACACTATAACAAATAATTAAGATGATATACAACGTCAGTACCTAGAATCGATACTTCAAGACAATCATGTTAGGGAAGCTTGGACACAGGATCTGTTTTTGAATCTGATTTTTTTTCTTTTCACACTTCGGGATGATTGAGAGCTTGACAAGTCCTACCGACACTTGAGTATTTTAAAGATTTGAAATATTGACTTCCGCATGTATTTTGAGTACAGTTGTTGTCGCTGTGTTGTTGTGTTGTCGTCGTACAAATTGTTTTTTTTTTATCTCTCTAATTCCTAACTTAAAATCGATTTTCTGTAAAAATTTCACTAGATAATAATAATTATCATTACGTATGTACTTATGTAAAGATGGCAATTGAGGATTCTCGGATGTCTTATAAGAAGTGTATGAGGATGGGATTAAGGTGAACAATATGACAAATAATGATAAACTATTTTTGTTAAAAAAACAAACGTTAATGATCAGCATTTGTCATCATTTGACGCTTACAGTGCTCAGCAATAACCGTGTTACAAGTAACGATGAATTATTAAGCCCATTCGACGCTAAAAGTATAGGAAAGGGAGCGATTGCCGATTGACGGTATATTCCTTTCCTACCCTCATATATGTCACTTGACAAAAATCCTTACTAGTCAAATAAAAAACACTTTTGTTTAGAGTTTCTGTAAATAGAAATAACCTTTATTTCAAATTGATATCAAAGAAATTTTCCTATATACTGTGTAAAATTTACTGCTGCCATTTATAAGATCAACTTAATAATTGACTAAAGACTTAACATCGTAGTTGAAAATGAGTGAACAAGTTCAACTGGTAAATATTGTACAAACTGATGACTGGAAAAGATCAGAAGTTCAAAGGAGAGATAGTACTGAAACTAATGCGTGGAATGATAAACTTGCAGTTATTCGAAACGCGATTAGAAAGAGAGATAAATCAATTTTAGCCCTTACTGTGATGCTGTTGATATGTTTTACACTTGCAGTAACGGTTGTTGTCATGTACTTGAAAGGTAAGTTTTTCACTTGCAGCAACGGTCGTTGTCATGTACTTGAAAAGTAAGTTTTACACATGCATTAACTGTCGTTGTCATGTTTTTGAAAGGTAAGTTTCACACTTACAGTAACGGTCGTTGTCATGTACTTGAAAGGTAAGTTTTACACTTGCAGTAACGGTCGTTGTCATGTACTTGAAAGGTAAGTTTTTCACTTGCAGTAACGGTCGTTGTCATGTACTTTAAATGTAAATTTACACTTGCAGTAACGGTCGTTGTCATGTACTTGAAAGGTAAGTTTTACAGTTGCAGTAACGGTCGTTGTCATGTAATTGAAAGGTAAGTTTTTTTATTTTCTGTTAATGAGACGCGGACGGAACTGTTACAAGGAATTCTGAATTGACCTGTTTAATTTTCGGGAATTCGAGATTGAGCTGTTCAATTGTCAGGAATCCGAGAAGAGCAAGTTATTTCGTCGGGAATTTCGGAATTTCGGAAATTCAGTATTTGATTATATTGTGATGAGGGTACGCACACATTTTTTTCACGGGATTTCGGGATTTGATAATTATATTCGGGTTGAGACACCCGCCTACGACACCCCACCACCGTTATTGATATCGTTTTAAAACATAACATAGGTAAAAGCTGACAATACGGAATCATGTTGTTTTCAGGAGAAACGATAATTCCTAATCTTAAAATAGAACAATCAATTATCTTAATAAATAAAACCCATAAACCAGGTAGCAATGCAAATAAAAAATCGTTGAAATGTGTCGTATGTACGTTTGAAGGAACATAGTAATGGATTTCAATAAAATAAATGTACCAAGACAGGAACATGACATTTGTTTCAATACGTTTGATGTGCTTGAATGTTTGATTTTGACATTTGATAAAGAACTTTTTGTTTTGAATTTTCCTTGGAGTTCGGTATTTTTTTTAAATTTACTTTTCCCAGTAGGATACTAGACACACCATTATCTGTATTTGGCAACACTTTTAGGAATTTTTGGTTCTCAATGCTCTTCAACTTAGTACTTTATTTGGCCTTTTTAACTTTTTTTTTTGGATTCGAGCGTCACTGATGAGTCTTTTGTAGACGAAACGCGTGTCTGGCACAAATACAAAATTTCAATCCTGGTATCTATGATGAGTTTATTTACAACCACTGGGTCGATGCCACTGCTGGTGGAGCTTATATTCCCCGAGGTTATGACCAGCCCAGTAGTCAGCACTTCTGTGTTGACAAGAATTATCATTGATATGGTAATAATTATAAATTAACTGTTTACAAAACTTTGAATTTTTGAAATACTAAGGCTTTTCTACATCAGGATTAGATTACTTTATCTGTATTTGGAACACTTCTAGGAATTTTTGGTTCTCAATGCGCTTCAACTTCCTACTTTATTTGGCCTTTTTAATTTCTTTTGAACGTCACTGATGAGTCTTTTGTAGACGAAACGAGCGTCTGGCGGAAATAAAAAATTTCAATCCTGGTATCTATGATGAGTTTATTTATAATGAAACGTCATTAATTGATGCATCTTGGATACACACATTACATATAAAAAGAAGATGTGGTATGATTGCCAATGAGACAACTCTTCACAAGAGACCAAATGACACAGAAATTAATAACTTTAGGTCACCGTACGGCCTTCAACATTGAGCAAAGCCCATACCGTATAGTCATCTACAAAAGGCGCCGAAATGACAAATGTAAAACAATTCAAACGAGAAAACTAACGGCATAATTTATGAAAAAAAAAAATGAACGAAAAACAAATATGTCACACATGTATTGTTTATATGAATTATTTTCATTTTTATTTTTGAAGATATTGAGAAGAGTTCAGAACTAGAAAAGCAGATAAAACAATTAGCTTTGAATGATTCCGGTTTGGAAAGACAATTTCACTTGTCTTATCGATTAGGTAATACAACACGTTTTGAGTATTATGTTTAATTTAATTATTTTGACATACAATGGCCTAAAGTAATGTACATGCTTGTAAATGAAGGAAAGACAGAGCTGCAAAATATTTTTTTGTGTTCTTTTTTTTGTGTTTTTTTTTAATATTTTCAAAAGCCAGATTGGTATCTCCTCTTTCTTTTAAATCTTCAAAAAGCTCCAAAAACCACAAAGAAACACTAAAGGCAAACCAGGAAATATCTTAAAGATGAGTGTTGAACCTTTCCAGAAATGCCATCGATAGATATGGAGGAAAACTACCTATATCAGTTTAAAATATCATAATGTGAAGAGACTTATGCGGATGAAAGCTTAATAAATGGCGTGTTTCATTCAACCCAAAGACAGTTTAAGTAAAATCCAGGTTTATATATGGAGTATGTACACGCGTACCCAGCATGTCAAAACCCATTTAAACGACTAATTGACAAGGTAGGGTTGCTGTACAAACTGATCCGGAAGAATGGTTCAAAAAATATCGTCATAAAACAGAAATAACAACTAATCAGGTTAACATTGCTTATAAGTTACAATTAGCTTTTCATCTTGCAAAGATATAGTTTCCGGAAAAAAAAAAGATATTTTCATTGTCTGGTTAACGTATACCCAATATCTGTTTTATACCTAAATGATAACATAATAAAATGACTTAAAGGGGCCAAGATGCCAAAGGGACACAATCACAAATTGAAGAAAACCAGACAACACCATGGCCAAATTAAGATAAAACGAACATCCAATAAACATTTCACAATAAACTACAGAGATAGAGCAACAATTTCTTAATAGAACCCTTAGCTTATCGTAGATGATCATAAAGGGACAGCAGTTACTGTTCATTTTGTGGAATTTGAAGTACATCACGATGATTTCTACATCTCGCTAAGAAAACTACTACTAAATTAATCATATGATGAAATTATGTAAATATTTATAAAAGGTAGCCGTGACCATGGGAATCTTTCTAAAGACGAAAAAGGCTCTAGAGGCGAAATGGGTCCAGGTGGTCTTAAAGGCACATCTGGCGAAGTTGGAGACAAAGGTTCAGCTGGAATTAAGGGACCAATCGGAGATGTAGGACCAATAGGAACAAAAGGTGCAAACGGTTCTACGGGCGACAAAGGTAATATCGGAGATGAAGGTCCAAGTGGACAAAAAGGAATAGTTGTAGAAAAAAGCGCACTTGGTGCCAAAGGTCATAATGGAACCGAAGGTGCGCATGGTGAAAAAGGCACAAAGGGTGAAATGGGCCAGACTGGTCTTGTTGGACCTACTGGAAGTAAAGGTTTGACTGGTGAACATGGAAATAAGGGTCTAGTCGGCGACAAAGGACAAAAAGGTGAGAACATTTAAATCACTTTTTGTTTTCCGTGTTTTCAAACGTTATATACTAAATTATAGTAGTAATATTGAAAAAAAAGTAGTATTTTATGAGAATTTTTTTTTACTATTTCATTATAACAGAAGACTACAGATCCATTATTTACAAATGACGTATTAACGTATTTTTTTTTAACAATATGCTACACTTATGACAAACCACTAATTTTTGTTGAATAATTGACAAAGAACAACACAATTAGTTATTCCAATGTTTGATATTACGAAAAGGTGAAATGGGAGACAAAGGTTCAGTTGGAAGTAAGGGACAACTCGGAGATGTAGGTCCAAGAGGAGGAAAAGGACGAAATGGTACGAAAGGATCAAATGGAGAAAACGGCATGAAAGGCGAAGAGGGACCAACGGGAGAAAAGGGTGCAATAGGTGCAAAAGGTATGGCTGGTTACAAAGGTACCATCGGAGATGTAGGTCCAAGTAGACGAAAAGGAGAAAAAGGTCCAAATGGAAACGAAGGTGTGGATGGTGAAAATGGTACAAAGGGGGAAATGGGCCAGACTGGTCTTGTTGGACCTACCGGAAGCAGAGGTTTGATTGGAGTAAAAGGACCAACTGGTGATAAAGGATTGAAGGGAGAAAATGGACTTCCTGGTTTTAATGGTGAACACGGCGAAAAGGGAATCAAAGGTGAAAAGGGATTAACGGGAAATAGGGGCCTAGTTGGCTACAAAGGACAAACAGGTGAGAACATTACAATTACTTTAAATTAAAGATTACAAAGTTATGCTGTGTTTTCCATGTTTTCAAAAGTTATATACTAAACACTAGTAGTATCAAATATATAATAGTATTTTTAAAAAGGGACCATATGATAACACAAGGCTGCAGAACCACAATTATCAAATGGCAGACCATTGTCATTTCTCTTTGACCAAAATGTCACATATCTGCAAAACAATTCATTCAGTTTTGAATGAATGACACAAAGAAAAACACAATGATTTATATTAGTGTTCAATATTATAAATATTCTTGGCAATTCTAATTCTTCTTTGTAATTTTATTATGAAAGTTGACTTAATAGAAATCCACATAAAGAAATTGAAGAACATCAATGACTTGCACTTGCTGTTGATAATTATTAATTGTTAATACAAATTAATTGTTAACAAAACTTCTTTCGAAATACTTAGGACTTTCTACCCCAATAATAGATTACCTCAGCTGCATTTGACAAAACCTATCGCAATTGTGCGTCCTCAACAGTCTTCAACTTCGTATTTTATTTGGCCTGTTCTACTTTATTTACTCCAGCGTCACTGATGAGTATTTTGTAGACGAATTGCGCCTCTGGCGTACAAACGTTTATGCCTGATATATATGATGAGTTTGTTTACTGCTGGAGGATACATTGCAATGAATGGTTAGCATATAATGGTACCAGGTCTAACGCAGATGAAATCATCATATTCCTTATAATATTATCTTCACCTCGTCTTTCGCCTAGTATAAACATTGACCCATGACACCAGTAATTACATACGCAACATGAATGTGGATCTGCTCACCCTTTGCAGAGAACCTGAGACCACCCCCGAAATTAGTGGGGTTAGTGTTTTGTCATTAGTGTTCTATCTTGTGTTTTGTCATTAGTGTTCTATTTTGTTTTTGTCATTAGTGTTCTATCTTGTGTTTTGTCATTAGTGTTCTATCTTGTGTTTTGTCATTAGTGTTCTATCTTGTGTTTTATATACTGTAGGTTGTGTTGGTCTTTGTATGTTATATTTTCTCCGTTTTTAATAATTGTTAATATCATGTATAATGTCTTCATTTCAAAATACAGGAGCACGAGGACAAACTGGTGAAAAGGGGCAACCTGGAGAATCAGGTATCATAATACTTTGTAGATGATCGTTGCAAACTGAACAACTTAGTTTTCTTTTATAAATATTTTTTTTATTAACCTTAAGAACTAAATTTGTTGACAGTAAAACTACAGTATAATGTAAACAAGGTGAGGCAGTAACCGAACAAAACTTGATCATAACAGTGAAACTAAAAAAGGCAGACAGTAAACAAAATGATAAGGAGAACAATGCGAGAAAATAAGCACTGCTTTTGAATAAGAATTCCGTTAGTTTAGTATTAAATTTTGTCATTTTATTAACCAAGGAAAGATTTAACCTTCAAGTATTTGCATTATTCAAATCATAAAGTATTGAACACCATTTAAGAAAGATCTAGCTCAACGCGATTTAAGTTAGTGATTTACACAAGTTCGTCCGCATTTTCATACTGATAACTTACTGGAGATCTTCTCCCTGAAAATCTTCTACAATTACCTGTTTTGTTGATATATTTTAAAATTTCAAAAAGCAATACAAACTATTGTTTCATCTTATTCTTGAGAATGTTTTCTAGTAAGTAAATGCTATTTTATAAAGACATGTTTTATACCTCTAAAGCAATGTCTTTGGCGCCGTATCTTTAAACCAAATGAAGTTCAACTATTTGTGTTTTTCAGGCAAAACGATAACCTGTGGTTCCGGATGGATACAGTTTATGGAAAGTTGTTATAACTTTCAATTCAGGTCAAAAAGGTCATGGTATGCGGCAAAAGTAAGAGGATAAGTAAACAATTAGCATTGATTTATGTTTCTGTTTATTGACGATTGACGTTGCCTTCGTAATCAATAGTTTATTCAATGATATGTTCTATTGCAATTTAAATGTAATCTGATTGATATGTGCAGATGTAATAAACCCATCCGCGAAGAGATTCAATGTAAAACAATCGCTTGAAAGATTTATGGGGCAATAATCACATGAGTGGTAAAGATTTACTACTAAATGAAACAATTCTAAACCTTGACAAGACTTTAATGGGCGAACTTGTGAACTTGTGTACGGTAGTTAATTCACTTTTTGTTGCTAGTTTAATGACCGTGATCAATATAAATCCAGCCGTTAGATTTCTCATTTGATTTGCTTTACATTTGTCATGTTTGGGCCTTTAATTGCTTACTATGCGGTGTGGATTTTGCTCATTGTAGAAGGCCGTACGGTGACTTAAAGTTGTTAACCTCTATTTCAGTTGGTCTCTGGTTGAGAGAAGTCTCAATGCAATCATACCGCCTCTTCTATTTTATATAAACGTTACTGTTATCATGATTGATTAATATAGATGAAATATGTCAAAATCAAGTAACTAAGATTATGAAACAAAATAAAACGAAAACACAGTTTCAAAAACTATCATGAACAATTGATGGGACTCATGTAAATGAACTTGACAGTAGTTTGCCTCTTAACTAGATTCTTGGGACAAAGGAAAATAACTATCTAAGCCTTTACTTTTTTAAATTTTCCAACATAATTGGGATGTTAAAGTAAAAAAGAAGTTATGGGTAATCAACTAATAAAAAAACTAAACAAAAAAGCGATCTAAAAAAAAACAATCATACTTGTTTTACCAACAAAATGCTTGATATATGGTCAAAAAGGATGGTTTTCTTAGGTTTTGAATTTGGTTATAGTTTCTGTTAGTTGACAAGAATCTTGATACTAATGTAACTACTGGTAATATATTTAACTAATTTCTGAATACATGTAAATCCTTCTCCATTCAAAGATTGATGAGACAATGTTGTTGTAAAGTTCCTTCTTTATTTATATAATAGCTGAAAGTAATTGCGTGTACCATGCGCTAAAATGAAAAAAATACAGGTGAAAATTGCAGCGGAAAACAAACCATGATGCAATCATTGTTTGCATATGTTACACAACTTATCAATAAAAAGGAAAAATCTATTTTAAAATCCTTTAAAAAAACACTCATCCTATGCTAACATTGAATTTGAGAATTTTGTTGTAGACTGAATGTCATAGAATGGGAGGATTCCTTGTAAAAATGGCACAATTCTATTGAGAACTGGTTCTTGAAAAACTTCAGAACAGTCGGTAAGTACAATATCAAATAATAGTAACTGGTACTTATTTACCCCTATTGATCACTAATTTAATTTTGCAGTAAATAATGTATTTTGTCTAGTAAAATGATTTGATTATTATTGTTATCGTACAGTGAATATATATTTATTCTAAATGACTACAAATCGAAAATGAATAGCATTTATCAAAAGCAGGGAGTAAAGTGCTTTTCAAAGGAACAACTGCTTGTAATCCAATAACAGCCCGGCTTAACATCACATATCTTGGTAGATATGAATAAATAACATAAGTGTGTTTGTACACTGGATGTATATGGGAATTTTGAGACTTATCTGTCGAACATCAAAACAAATATTCATAGAAAATGCAAAAATAACAGAACAGAAGGAGAAGATACCCAGAGGGCAATTAAAAATCAAAAATCAAAAGGTCAAACAAACACAGATAATAATACAATAAAACACCAGGTGTGATATCTGGTGATTCGGAAGGGTAAGCAGTTCCTGTTCCACTAGTTACAAATATATGTGCTGTTGTGAAATATTCTCAACGTCTTCTATATAAAAAGTCATTTATAGAAGCTTATGAAAAAACTTAGATAAAAATGCAGATAACCATGACTGTACACCGAGCAGCTAGATTAAAAAAAAACAACCCGATACGTTGACTGAGTTGCAGAAGTAGGTCTATTGGAACATCGGAAATGACAAAAATATTATCGTAAAACTTATTCCCTTCCCGTTTTAGTGTGTTTTATTCGTATAAAAGAGATTTCATTTTGATATTAAGTGAAATTTATTGTTTATTGTGCTAATGTAAAACACAATTGTCTTCCAAAATATTGTTGTGATGCAAAAAAACAAAGATAAACACAACACTGAACCCATAATAAATAATTAAGTAGCAACGTTTATCTATTATCTATCAAAAACTGAATTCTTCAGTATTTTATATTTCGATAGGCCATTCTCAAATTCTACAAACATGATAAATGTTGATGTTTACTTTTAGATAAGAACCCAGGTAACATTTGGATTGGAGCACATGATTCTGTATGGGAATCCCTTTTCAGATGGGAATCCGATAATACATTTCTAACCTATACTAACTGGAACCCAGGCGAACCTAATAATCGTGGCCAAGAGGACTGTGTGCATATGAATTTTGAAGCTACGTTTAAGTGGAATGACAATAAATGTTCACATCAATTTTCATATATTTGTGAGAAACATTAAAACAAATTGTGCTTTAATTCTCACGTTTTCTAATGTCAGTAATATAACAGTTTCTCAAAAGTTATACCTGTTTGATTTGATGGTGTTTTTCGATATTCCCAGTTATTTTGATTATCAGATGACATGTTTGTTATTCTTTATTTCTTTCTCATATCGAAACTGGTCTTGAATGTTATGCTTTGTTCAGACATATGGCTATTATTGTTAGGTACGTTTTGGTCAAATAGCTCCTTACGTTTTATGTATTTGTATTTATACATCCTTGACTTTCAAAATTATGGGTTGTGGCATTCCTGGTCATGGTAAGCCTGAAAAGGTCTTTCAGACGCACGAAGTTTATATTATGTTTTTTGTCATTTATTTATTCGTAATAGTTTATTTATCTATCATAAATAAGAATCCATTAGAATAACAAACATATCAGTTACGCAGCAAGCCATTAAGAAGAACATGAAAAATAAAACAGTGACATATGATAAGCCAAGAGTTTTCTATAATTAAAACATGAGTAAAATATATTTAATTAAATTTCGTAATTGCCTCAAGTCATACAAGTAAAAAAATACAAAATATTCGAGGAGGACAACAAGGAACACTAAGGTATACAAATTAAAACAATGATAGGATATCTATCTCACAGATGATCTAGAATTGTTCCACTTTTTCTAATGGATGTCCTGGTTGAGCAAGAACGATTTATTTATTCTTTTGTTGTTGAAGGGAAGTTTATGCTCAATCTGTAGTTTTTTGTTTAATGGACTTTTGTTTGTCCATCCGACTTGTTATCCATGATGACCTCATTTGACAACTTTTATTTTGGGTTCACAACTCATTAATGATATTTGAACATTAACGGTAAAACCTCATCAAAGATACCAAGCTTTTATTTGTTACGACATATGCGCGTTTAGTCTACACAAGACTGATCAGAAGCGTTTTAGTTAAAAAAATATATGAAAAACTAAATCAATTACGAAGTAGAAGAACTACTGACCAAAAGTTAAAAAACGTAATGCAGATTCCGGTTAAAAATAAAACATGTGGTGCAATTGCTAACGAGACAACTCTCCGCCAGAACAAAATAGAAGATGTAGAAAGCTCTTCCACAAGTAAAAAAAAACCTAACTGTAAAACATTAGGGCTTAAAAAATATTTTCGTACTCGTAACAACAAAATTATTATATTTAAATCTACCTGTGTACGTTTTTTTATTTAACGCCATTTTGTCATAGGTTATAGTTGTCTTTCTGACATTGTTTTACATCTTTTTTTTAATTAATATTGTATTTATATTGTGTCATAGATCAGATTTATTCGTTCAGTGTATGTTTACTTGTTTTTGTTTATGTCTTTTTGATCGAGTTAAGCCATTTCAATTGATATTTTATGGTGTGTCTTTTTATGTTGTAATGTTACACTAATGTTTCAGGTTAGGGTGAAGGTTGGCGCCTGTTAAAACGTTTAACCCCGCCCCATTCTAAATGTGCCTGTCCCAAGTCAGGAGCCTGTAATTGAGTGGTTGTATTTGTTGCTGTTTCTCATATTTGTTTTTCGTTTATTGTTTTGCATAGTTTGTTCTTATGTTTACCGTTACATCACTTTCCCAGGTTGGAGGGAGGGTTTGGCGCCAAAAACAAGTTCAAAACCGCTGCATTTGTATGCACCTGTCCTAAGGCAGGAGCCTGTTGTTCAGTGGTTGTCGTTTGTGGATGTGGTGCATAAGTGTTTCTCGTTTCGCGTTTTTATATAGATTATAATTAGACCGTTGGTTTTCCTGTTTGTATTGTTTTACACTAGGCAATTTGGGGCCCTTTATAGCTGGCTGTTCGGTGTGAGCCAAAACTCCGTGTTGAAGGCCGTACTTTGAACTCTACTTGATTACTTTTTACACATTGTGACTTGGCTGCATAGTTGTCTTATTGGCACTCATACCACATCTTCTTATTTCTATATACCACAGACACGGGGACACATTCTACTGCATCTACATAGCACAAACATCAAACTCTGCAGTAAAAATAAAAACAGGAAGACGTGGTATGATTGCCAAATACACAACTCTCCGCCATCTATTCCTAGGGATAAACCTTTGGTATTTCGACTGACTTTAAAGTTCTTATGAACAGTACAATAACAAAAGTAATGTACCAATGCTATCCATGTCACTACAGGAGAATTTACACGTCCACCAGCAGCGGCATCAACCTAATCGTTGTAAAAATCATTAAAGATATCAGCCTCATAATTTTGCACACTGGACGCCCTTTCCGATTCATCAGTGGAGCTTGATTGAAACCAGATGGAAGACTAAAATACAACTATTGCCCCTAATTTTACATTATTCGATTCTATTCACTCAATAGAACACTATACTTTATGATTTAATCTGATTTTTTTGCTGTCGAAATAGAGAAAATGGCTGTAAAAAATGAATCAATTATGACATTTATAAGTACATAATATGTAGTTATTGATATTAACAAGGTGATTAATATCAAAGAGGAAGTGTTGACTCATTCTTAAACAAGTGACTCTTATAAAAGATATCGTACTTAATCAACATTCAAGAAGATTGTATGTAATCGGATGATATTGTAAGACAGTACTTTAACCTGGTTACAGTGAAATGAGATACGTTTACTCCAACGGTGAGTATGGACAATTAAAAGATTCCCTAAGCTTTGATCAAACTTACAGCATTGTAATCAATTTGTAAATCAACCAAACCTTTCCAGACACATTATTCTTACTAAAAGACAACAAGTCTATGCTCTAAATCTTATGTGTCATATACCTGGAAAGAAGGACCAAAAACATTCCACTGTTAAGTTATTGATTTGTTCGATCGCAAATCGAATTCACGTAGTTCATGGACAGTATCACGCGACATCTTTTTCACAGACCTCCAAGATTTGATTTACATTGTAACATGGTTTATTACCCTAATCCAATTGTGAGAGGCTTTTTTAGTGGATGTATAATCGTTGTTTATCTCGTTCAGCTTTTGATCATTGCACTTTTATAACAATTTGTAATGCCTTCATTTAATGCCTAGTGGAGTCAAACTCTCTAATTTTCTTTGATGTTGTTTTACCATCGTCACATTGCAAAGAAAACAATACATGTTTGTGTTACAAATACGTTTAAACACCGTTTGTGGCTTTGAACTTATCTTATATGAACATTAATGTGTGACCTTTCTATGATTTGGATATTTCAGTTTCACATGGGATATTCTGTGTTAAATTTCCCTTTTTACGTTAATGTGCCTGTAGCCGATTCTTACAGTAAGGATATTTCAATATTAGTTCACTATGCTCATATCTGTAGTGACGTTTTAGATTTCAATGAACATGATCTTTGCATCACAGGTCTACCACACATTACCGGACCCCTTTACATAATCATATCACGGACAAGAAGATTTATTTGGATTGTTTCACATTTTGTCATCCTAGACCTTTCATAGTTTACTGCACGGTTTTGCTTATTTTTAAATGCAGTAAACTTACTTGTAATTGTTCACATAGATGTTCGTTTTTCAATCATGGATAATGTATTTATATCAATAATCCGAAAACATCGCCTCATTTCTATATTTCATATATTTTTTATGTAACTGACAAATGTTTAATTGAAAGTATCGCTGAGTGTTGTTACATACCGTTAATATTATTCTTCTTCAAATAATTTCTCACAAAGATGATTAAAACTGATTAAAATACCACTTATAATTTGGTTAGTCATACGCACGTTTTGCATACATCAGACTCATCAGTGGAGCTCGAATTGAAACAGTTGAAAAACCAAATCCACTACGAATTTGAAGAGCACGTAACACATACAAAATCCAAACAAATATTTCAAGAACTAAAAAAATCATTGAAATCTGGGATAATAAAAGACTAATGTATTTCGAATAATTCAACAATGTATTATCTATACATTTTCAGAAAAAAATATGAATAATATTTTATATCAACAAAGAAGTGCTGACTACTGGGCTGGTTATACACACGGAAACGAAACGTTCACCAGCGAAGGCATCGATCCATTGTTTGTAAAAACTCATTGAACAACCAAGGTTCAAAATAAAATTTATCTTCACAAATATATTACTGTTTAGATTTTTTTTCTTCAATTGAATGAATTAATGCTTCATTTGGCATATGTACTGTTATCAATATAATTGAAAGACACTTTCCAGAGGTCATGCATATATTATAAAACTTCAGTTTTCAGTTTTACAAGGGAATTTGAGTCAAATTCATATGATCAATGATAGATGACGCTCAACAGAGAAATTTGTCGCGATAAGCTCTTTATAGAAGCTGTTAACTTTGAAATAACCACGATTCAATAAAACAGTATATCAACGCAATGGACGCCAACTATATTTCAAACAGATACCTTCTTATTGGAGATATTTATTTTTTGTTATGCATGCCAAATTGTTTTTTCTAAAAGCTTTTACAATGATTGCAATTACAGGTTTTAATTTAGAAAAGCTATTATTTCTGCACTAACAAGCGTTTTAGATAGACGATTACTTATTTGAAGAATAATATGTACTGTATGGTAACAACTGGTAATTGCCAAAATGGTCAGTAGACTACTCAAAAACGTTAAAGCCATTGAAAGACGATTTTCACCCATTCTTGCTTTTTGTACTATAATGTTGAAAAACTATAATAGATAGAAAATAAAAACTTTTATATATACATAAAAAAAGAACAGCATGACGAGAAACATATATTACTTATAGTGGTCGAAATGGCTAGTCAACTTGTAATTTGAGTTATTCCTTTTAACGATTTTTTTCTATATTTGCTTTTAACGCTTAAACTACAGTGGATATAGGAAAATTGTAAAAGACAAATTAACATCAATAAATAGGTCAAAATGTTGGAAATGATCGGTGGAATCCCTATTGGTTGCCCTAACATGATTGTATCAGTGTTTTTATTTAATATCTTGAAACTATATTGTATAAACTCAAACTTAAAACAGGACTTGT